GTCCATTTATGAAGATTATTACTTTATTATTCAGGATGGTTGAGTGAATATTTTCACAGTGTTTGTTTAGTGTTTGTACGAAAACCAATCCAGAACACGCAAACCATCATCATCCTCCTCATCAGCTGTTTGAGACTTTAATAACAGAGTCTGTGATCAGCTACACGGGACGTTCAATAGTGTCATTTACAACAGTGTTTGAACGAAACTAAACAACCTACAGCTAAAAACAACTCAAAATATATATATATAAAAGCAAAAGCAAACATAAGTCACTCATATTACTGCAGGACGAAAGTCACAGCTAGTTTTAAAACAACCTTTACGTGAGAAGAAAATTGTTTTTTTTAGTACGCTTCAACAGGAGACGTGAAGATACAGATACAGGGCGAATCTCACAAAAAGTGAATTTCATCCCCAAAAAAATTTTTTTTTTAATTTAAAATTTTTTTTTTTTTAATTATTAATTAAAATTAAAAAAAATTTGCATAAAGAAATTAATTTCTTAAAAATAAGAGATTTTGCATTATGGCATTATTTTCATAGCAACAAAAAAAAATTTATTTTGCAGATAATCGGGAGGAAAATTTGCTTATTTGTTATGAAAATATCACAATAAAGGCTTCATTTTCTTTAAAGAAAACAGAATGTCTTCGTTCCTTAGACTTCAGGGTGAAATGTGTGATACACGGGTTTTGTGAGATTCACACGTTTCAAAAACTCATTCGATTTCCATCCAAAAACTCTATTATCGCAAGCATATTTACACTCTGGTCAGGCGAGATGTTATGATCATACGAGGCATTTCGCTCCAGGTGTTTATAGATGCAGCAGAGCAAAGATTTTCATTAAACACCAGGAGGAAGTCTTTCATCAATTCATTTCCTCTAACAGTAACATCGGATACATTTGCGATACATTACAGTGGTTATTGGTTTATAAAAAAACATGCTTAACGAGCCGCACTTTAAAGTGCACTTCAGCCAGCACTTATTAAAAGAATAAAAACAATCTGAGGGTTTAATAAAAAAACAAGAACGGTATTGCCGGAGGCCTGAGCAAAGCGTCCTCATTGGGTTTCAGACTTCTTTTTGTTTTTCTTTAGGAACGACGGGGTGCGAAACTTTTTCTTCTTCTTTGACGGGGATTTGTTGGGCGATTCGTCGCTGCCGTGATCACCAGCTGCGTCGTCCCCGGCAACAGGCTCCTCCCCCTCTGGCTGAGGGGCGGGGTCTGTCTGCTCGGGGGCGGGGTCTTCTGCAGGAAGGTCGGAGACTTCGTCGGGGGTCAGATCGGGGAGGGTCTGTCTTAAAGCGGCGGCGTCACTCTCGTCTTTAAACGTCTGCTCCTGCTGGGCCTCTGCGGAGGAGGATGAGAAGAGAACAATGAGTTTGTAGATCAGCTCAAGAGTCCAGGGGGAAATCCAGCGCTCACAACACACTCACTCTCACACACACACACACACACACAGGTTTGTTTTTGTGAATTGTGGGGACATTCCATAGGCGTAATGGTTTTTATACTGTACAAACAGTATGTGCTATTGCCCTAAACCTAAACCTACCCAAACTTGTCCCCAACTTTACCCGTATCACACCTCAATAGCAGCAAATGTGTTGTGCATTAACAAACGCCTTTAATAATTGTATAACATCTGTTAAAATCATTTGTAGATTTTCAAAACGTGCACATGAATTTAAACTTTAATGACATTTGTAAGCATTTTCATTTATATGAAATAATGATCTGTTAATCATTAGGTAATACGTTTATTAATAAGCACACTATCTCTTAGATATTTGAATATATATTAATTAATGATCCGTTATGCATTATGCACAATGCTTGTTAATGATTTATTAATGAAAGTTATTATACAGTGTTACCAAAAAAGGAAAGAAAGTCTGGTAGCTTTTCATTTCTTAAACAGCCATGTCAGAAGACATATCCTAAGGTCATATTCATTAAGATTTATCAGGCTCAAAGTCTTTTTAATGCAACTTTTGGTGGAAATAAATGCTGTGATGTTGCATAACTTTGTCAAAACAATGCCACAACGGATGTTATCAAAGCTAAAGGCAACCTGACGAAATATTGGAGTGTGCAACTTTCTTTTAGTCATGCATTATAGGCAATATTGTCCGATCCTAACAAACCACACATCAATGGAAAGCTATTTATTCAGCTTTCAGGTCATGTATAAATCTCAATTTCTAAAAATTGACCCTTATGAGTGCTCCAGGGTCACATGTGTATTATGATTTCAATAGGATCATTATATTATTGCCTACATTAACTAGAGTTGTATTAGATCGGTTTTATAAATCAAACAATCAAATCAAGGCTGATTTTTAAAGATGGAGTTTTATTCATGGTTGCAAAATAAACAGTACCATGAAAAAAAAAATTGTGGTTTTAAAATTGTATTACATACAATTAATCTGGAAAAAAGAACAGCATTTAGAGATTCAACAGAAACTGGAAATGAAGGGGTTCTAATCAAATCATCTCATGTGTATTGTTAAGAATAAATCAGCTGAAAAGATCACCAGAAAAGTGAAGAACACAAGTCAGAAGCCCAGAATGCCATGCAGTCCTTCAGCAAACGCTCGTGTCGTCAGACTCTAACTCAAACTGCACTGCCGGCTTCACATCGGTGCAGAACTCATATCTGTACAAGCCATTAAACATTAAAGATCAGGTTAGTATTTCACTCCTCTCTGCCTTTATATACGTGTTAAACTCAACAGCACTTTCTTACAATCATATTAAAGAGAACTGAACAAAACTGCACAGGTTAGTCAACGACCGATGAAGCTATAAAGAAACGTCAAAATTCAACGCCAAATCAAAAGAAAGAAAATTAAAGTGAATCCTATTTTGAAATCCAAATTTAAATTAAATCAATTTTATCAAATAACAACTTTTTCCCCATACTTTTCCTCATTACGATGAAAAAAAAAAATTTATATATATATTTTTTCTTCTTTTCATTACTGCAATTCAAAAAAACAAATAATAATAAAGTGTATATTTGTAAGTAATCATTTTTGATTTCCAGAATTGTATTAAAGCAAAGTGGATATTTATGCATTGTGGTGATGAGGATTTCAGGATAAAATGTGAAATAAGAAAAAAAAAAAAAAAAAAAACTCTTAAGGGTCTTAAAAATATACTTTTTATGATTTTTTAAAATTTGGGGTGAAATATGAACCGGACAAAGAAAAAAAAAAAACCTTCTCGTTACTGTAATACAGAAAAAGTATATAGCATATTTGCAAGTATGCATAATGAAAGCATTTCGGGAGGAAAATTTGCTTATTTGTTATGAAAATATCACAATAAAGGCTTCATTTTCTTTAAAGAAAACAGAATGTCTTCGTTCCTTAGACTTCAGGGTGAAATGTGTGATACACGGGTTTTGTGAGATTCACACGTTTCAAAAACTCATTCGATTTCCATCCAAAAACTCTATTATCGCAAGCATATTTACACTCTGGTCAGGCGAGATGTTATGATCATACGAGGCATTTCGCTCCAGGTGTTTATAGATGCAGCAGAGCAAAGATTTTCATTAAACACCAGGAGGAAGTCTTTCATCAATTCATTTCCTCTAACAGTAACATCGGATACATTTGCGATACATTACAGTGGTTATTGGTTTATAAAAAAACATGCTTAACGAGCCGCACTTTAAAGTGCACTTCAGCCAGCACTTATTAAAAGAATAAAAACAATCTGAGGGTTTAATAAAAAAACAAGAGTGGTATTGCCGGAGGCCTGAGCAAAGCGTACTCATTGGGTTTCAGACTTCTTTTTGTTTTTCTTTAGGAACGACGGGGTGCGAAACTTTTTCTTCTTCTTTGACGGGGATTTGTTGGGCGATTCGTCGCTGCCGTGATCACCAGCTGCGTCGTCCCCGGCAACAGGCTCCTCCCCCTCTGGCTGAGGGGCGGGGTCTGTCTGCTCGGGGGCGGGGTCTTCTGCAGGAAGGTCGGAGACTTCGTCGGGGGTCAGATCGGGGAGGGTCTGTCTTAAAGCGGCGGCGTCACTCTCGTCTTTAAACGTCTGCTCCTGCTGGGCCTCTGCGGAGGAGGATGAGAAGAGAATGATGAGTTTGTAGATCAGCTCAAGAGTCCAGGGGGAAATCCAGCGCTCACAAGCTCGGCTCTTTATGCATGAAGCGTGAAAATCTCTGAAGCAGCAAATCAGCATATTAGAATGATTTCTGAAGATCATGTGACACTGAAGACTGGAGTAATGATGCTGAAAATACAGCTGCGCATCACAGAAATAAATTACAGTTTAACTGATATTCACTTAGAAAACAGCTGTTTTAAACTGTAAAAATATTTCACAATATTACTGTTTTTACTGCATTTCTGATCAAATAAATGCAGGCTTGGTGAGCAGAAGAGACTTTTTTAAAAACATTACCAGTCAAAAGTTTTTGAACAGTAAGATTTTTAGTGTATTTACCCCAAAAATCAAGAGTATTCTCATTACTCTCATAATTGCAATATACTTACATAGTACGAGTTAAATACACCATTAAAATATTTAAAAATGTTAGTTATGTACATCAGTTAAACAATTTAATTTAATGCAATACTGATATATTTAAATAACATAATTTTCCTATATTACCCATTAATATTACTACTTGATTACTCAACTCAAATGTGTTAATCATTTAAATTAGCCAGAGCAGAAACATAATATTCATACATTACCTGTTCTGCAATACTAGACATTAAAGATCCTTGATACTTAGTTATAGAAGTTAAGAGGAATAAATGAAGACGTTTCTAGGGAGAGATTTGTTGCTAGCATGATCGCACCGAACTCCAGACGGTTTGAACAACATCGTCTTTAATTATTATATCAATCAGGTGTTTTACCTAAAAAATGTATATAATTAATATATCTATAATAATGAGGTGAAGTGTCTTTGGTCTTACTGTGCACAATTCAGTGAATATTATTATTATTATTATATGGAAAAAGGCTTGTTTTTTTGGTAACACTTTACGGGAATCCTTTATATATAATGCATTATAAAAGTATTTTTAATGCATTATTCGAGCTTTGTAATGCATTGATTATGACAGCACAGTACTATAACACCTATCTATTCATTGTTACACCTTTAGTTTAATGCAGTAAAACACGACAACCAATCAATTCCAGACGTAACAAGGAATCTGCAAATATTTTAATGCATTTTAACTTTGGTTACAATTTCTTATAATGCATTATAACATACATTATGAATACCGTTATAATGCTTATA